CATGGCTTAGGCTCATCCATTACCATAAGACCCCCAGGGCTTGTGAGTGCATGTACTGCAGCCCATCTTCTAGCACGCAACCAGGGCAATGCCACTGATCAGGTTTTTGAATCACTTTCTTCCGTTTTCCATCCCTTGGATGAAAAGAAAAAAAAAAAGAGGTAAGTCAGAAATCCATTTTTATAAAAACACTGGAAACCACTAGTGCCTGTCTACCTCCCACAAAATCTCGGAAATCTCTTTTCCTAATAACCTTTAAGTGCTGGAGGCAAAAAGAAAGCACATATAGTGGAGAGAAAGGCATGGCAAGCACACACCTTCACCTCTTTCTCTGAGCAAAGCTGTAGAAGGCGTGGAGGAGATCGGGATGTGCAACCCCAACAAAGCCTTCTCCTTTAGCCAAGCACAGACACAGAGCTCGGGGTTTTTATGCTCTCCCAGCCTGTCCCTCTGCACAGTGCAGGCTGAAAAATTATTTCTACTTCATGCCTGGGAAGTAGAAGCCATAACATATTGAAGGACCTAAAGGTAAGGGAAGAAATCTGTCTTGTCCTGTGGTAAGATCTTTGGGCAGTTCATTGCTCTTCCAAAAATTTGTGTCTTATTTTTGCTCTGAATTAGCTGGCTTCAGCTTCTGTTGGATCTTTTTCTGCCCATTTCAGAATGACTGAGTAACTCTCTGCTATCAAAATGCCTTTTCCTTTGTTGGTGCTTGCAAGTCGTCATTGTATCATATTAAATAGATCTTCAATCTGTAAAGTGCTCTGTGCTGACCTCACTTGTAGCTCTTGACTCCACTTCTTCAAAAATTTTTACATCTTTCTGAAATTCGGACACCAAAGTTTTCAGCAGCAAGTGATAGTAGAGTAGCTAATAGCATATATAAAAGTAATACCCTCTGGTTTTGATCTGTTTATGTTCCCTGTTCGTAAATCTCAGGGCGGGTCTGCTCTCTTAAAAGAAAGTTTTGGGACTGTTTTGTCCAGTTGGACTATTATAACTTGGCCCTTTTTTCCAGTCATTGCATTCCAGATCTGCTGCTGTTTCTCACCATACATCACTGACTCTTAACATGAGCCGCTTTGCCTTCCACGTGGCTCCACTGAAACACATACTATTCAAAGAATATTCCCCCCAAGCAAGTGATCCAGATCAATCCACAAATGACACTTCCCTA